TCTGAGTTCTTTCTGCTAAACTAATAGCACTGTCTCTAATTCCACACGCAGCAAGCAAAGAGTTTGCTTTTCCAGATAACAGAAGGGCTGGTGATCAGCCAACGTCTAAAGAACCATTAGCCAAGTCAGTCATAGGCCAGAGACTGCAACTGATCGATAGATATTACTCTCTAAATCAGTTGGAAATTGCCTTTTCATCTTTTCTACAAGCAAGCATTATTCATGTTGTCCTGACACAACTGAAAGTTAGAGGAGAATTTTAACAAGAAACTTCTTACCTGGGCGCATCAATCGTTTCATAGCTCTCAAAGGAGGAATGAATGTGCTAGACACATTCAAATAGCATAGACATCATTTAAAATTAACTTAAAAGCCATGAAGTTTTTAATTAAATTGCAAGAAAAACTAGAAGAGTCTCATCTAGACAGTATACAGAGAGTAACCCTGAAAGCTGCACTTAAATTGACTGAAGTAAGAGAATTTAAGGAAGGTGGTGACGTTTATAATGTCTCTGTACCCCTGTCTTCTTCACTAGGAAATAAAATTGCTAGGGTTTGAAAAATAAGGAGAGAGGGGAAAGGAGGGAGGCAGGAAGGAGGGAGGGAGGAGGGAGGGAGGAGGGAGGAAAGGAGAGAGGGAGGAGGGAGGGAGGGAGGGAGGGAAGAAGGGAAGAAGAAGGGACAGAAGAAGGAAGGAAGGAAGAAAGGAAGGAAGGAAGGAAGGAAAGAAGGAAGGAAGGAAGGAAGGAAGGAAGGAAGGAAGGAAGAGATCCCTCTCACCGCTTCAGCGCCTAGGTCACATTTCCACAGTATTAAATGAGGGACATGAAGGAATACAAGCAGAACTGCCGAGCATCCCTCAGCTTGCATTCCTAATGACTGCACCAACTGCCCTTAATTATGTCTCCATAGGCGAGTGGTGAAAGAAGGGCGTACTTGGATATAATAAACTCCTGCCTTTGAAGCACCTCAAAATAAATCATTCAAAATTATTTACAGGGATGGATAGAACTCATTATTTATAGTCCCCATATATGTATGCACTGTTAAACATTATTACAGGAACTCATAATAAATCCACAGAAGCAGCCTCAGGTCCCTATCAACATTGATTCCTGAAGAAGAAAAAAAAATGGCTCTTAATTCAATAGACATTAAAGCTCCTGAAGATAGCATTTCTAGAAATGAATATTGCAATATAAAATGGAAAGTTTCTTCCCTTACTTCCTAGCACTCATGTATGTGACACTAGGGTCACATACAACAGACAACAAGGCCACCCATTCAGACTTCCTTAATTAGCTGCACACGTATTCCCAATTTAAAGGCTATTTCTGTAGTTTCAAGTATTTTAGCATTTGGAAAGAAAGCTTTAATTTGAATTTGAACTACTATATTCTCTCATTTTTTAAGAGAACCAACTGTGTATTTAGAAAAAGGTTGTTAACATGTATGAAGTAAAACACAATGATTCCTACCTATGAATAAAAGCCTTATAATATCATATGATATCATATATATCATATGATAAGAATTGGTATGGAAAGAGCAAAAGGGCATTTCCTCATTTGAAATATATTCACATACATAATGCATCTAATATGTGTGCGTGTACATAGATATATACATGTAATTTCCTTGGGTTGTTTAGAATTTTAAATTGTGCTTTATATTGCTATGATTTTTATTACTATTGTTGAACACTCTGTTTCCAACCAGCAATAAATGTGCATACTTTTATAGGAGTTGTTCTTTCTACTCCAATCCAAATGATCTGATATCCACTTCACTGGTTGTATTAGTAATACACAAATGATCAAATGAAGAGACATCACATTTCTCCAAAGTTAAAAAATTAAAATTTTAAAATGCTTGCTCTTTGATTTGATTTTCTTTAAATTATCATATAAGTACCTTCTTGCTAATAATAACTCTAGTGTATCACACAAACTTGCCCATTCCATCAAGTCTAAGATTTATGTTCATATTAATTATATTTAATTATAGAACTTCATCTTACACAGACAATCTTGTACTATATGTAATGTTTTATAAGAATTATTTAAATAACACCATTTTGTGCCTCAGTTTCCTCTTTACTAAAGTGAAAAAGTAGATTCTAACTTTAGAAATCTCAAGAAAGAAATTTATCACTGCACTTTTAACTCCTTTAAATAAATGGGCCTGTTAAACTACTCTTAAATTATTAAATCTCTTAAATGATAGACAAAATAAATGCTTAAGAAGTTAACATGAGTTAAAATCCATTGCCAAAAAGTATTAGAAAGTAAATTCAACCCACCTAGTACAAAAATCAGTGTTTGTTTTGCTGTATTTTAAGGATAACTTAAAAAAAGTTGACCTTTTATTCTTTTATTATTGATTTATTCTAGTCATAAGTTCAAAAATTTAAACAGTAAGCAATGAAGCTGTCTTTGTTTATATATTTTTCATTTGTCTACTTAATAAAATGGCCCCAAAGTGATGCAAATTACACATTATAATAATAAAACAAATAGCATTAGATGAAAGAGTCCTTGCTAACTAAATATGTGCCACTCCAACTAGTCCTTGATATATAACCGATGCAAAAATGTTTCACTCACGAGCCTTTTTATTTTATGAAAAGACACAATATTAATTATCCTACCAAATACTGCACTTATCAGTAAGAGCATAACTAATATTTTAACTTACTCTAATTAAATAACTAGAGAGACAAGCCTGAGCTCCCCACAGGTTGAATTAGCACTCATTCTGGAAGCCAGTACCGTTTCACCTGCTGATCCCGGGCACTCAAAACAGCTCTTCTACAGTCCTCACTACCCACTGCTGGCAGCCACTAAAATTCGTCTTTGAAAGTACCAGCAGTCTACAGAACACAATTGGCTTAACAGCTAAAGGCAGAAGGCCATTATAATTAATGGCCTTTTTTAAGTTTATCTTGATATTTACAGTTACAGTATCAGTAATAGCCAAATCTTCCTGAGACTATGATTTAAAACATACGATAAGATGTGATTTAAATATAGGCATAGCACAGTCACTATAAATTTCAAATAAAACCTGTTTTTATAGTAATTTATGGACTAATTTTTGCACATAGAAAATCCCTGAAGTCCCGAAGTGAAACATAGTAAATATACCAAACATAAAACAAAAGCTAGTATCAAAGGATATCCATTAATTAACAGTATTATGTGTATGAAATCATAATACAGATGTTGAAGACTTTCAAATTACTCTAGATTTTTAAAGGAAACTAATACGTGAAATCAATTTTATTAATCCATCCACTTCCAAAAGAAATACACAAAATCTTCCTCATATATATTGCTTTAATGCTCCAGATTTATATGAATCCCAGTTCATTTTAAATTATCTTCTGATTTAACATGCATGCACACCTCTGGAAAATTTGTTCGATCAGGATGATACTGGAATAAGATACCTCCATTTAGAAAGCCATGATAATAAATTCCACTCAGTCTTCAAGCTACAATTCTAAATGCTGGCTTTAGAACGCTCCCCTTCTGTGCTGACTGGGAATTTGATGCCGGTGTTTCTTTTTTAAGCATTTATTTCCTATCATTTCTTTTTTGAATTTTAATAGGTTTAAAGAATGAACACCTACAAGATTGGATTAACAAATAAGTAACTTTCCACTGAGTAACACGAACTTACCAACTTCATAAAAATAAATACCCAAATCTTTCCATGTAACTATCTACTGGCTTACACTATTTTCAAAATATTTCATGAGAAAGAACATCTGATCCTATGCTTCACTCTTTCATTCTTTAGCTTTATAAAATATGGAAACATTACTTTCTGCAACTGTAGTGGTGTGGTCCAGAAATATTTTCTGAAGATGTTTTTGTGATTTATAGTTAAGAGTGCAAATAGAAAATTATGGCCTAAAAGCACAGAAATTTGACTGACTGGAAATCCCAGTATGGAAAAGAAAAGGAGATAATGCATTCAGGTAAACCATAATACTGGCAATCACTGCACAATGTCTCAAATTCTGTGCTTTTACATAACTGGCACTGGTATATTCGTGCCAACACTTGTATATGACAAGCTGAGATGAAACAGCAATCTATTCTTCCTTAGGCAAGTGACATTTTTCAGTGTCACTAAAAATAGGCTTTTCTTTGCTGTGGCTGATGCTTGAATTTTGAATACTAAAGGAAACCAGCAGAGGGCAGAACTGCTGACCAACCCAACAGGCGACAAAGTACCAAAGGGAAAATGCAAACTTTTTGAGGTCGTCTGCTTTCAAAGACGCTTAGGTTTATCCTCCAAGAAGTTGCAATGAATCAACGTAAATAAATCACTGCTGCAAAATTCGAACGGAGTTCCACTGTGACTCTAGTGCTCATCACGGGCTGAATGAGACTCTGCCTGCTCCTGGGAAGCGTAAAGTCCACAAACATCAGAGCCAAGGTTAGGGCTGGGCCTCCTGAAGCACTAACTCTCTTTAGGGAGCTCTCAAGTCTGGTTAATAAGACCGATGGCCAGGCTCAGGTTTCTTCTAAACCTGCACGTTCAGAGTCCGGTTGGCATTTTTTGTGTTCCCCACTCCTCTTCTCCCTACTGCCCGGCTTCTCTCTGCACTCCTGACAAAGCTTGCTTTCTACTCTGAATGGCTCTGGCTGCCCAACTCCAAAGGCTTTCTCCTGCCAGCCGAGTCTACAGCACCTAAGGGACCGCCACAGCCAGATGCCTTTTAGGGAAAGGGCGGAGGCAAGGGAGGGAGGAGGCGGTGGGAGGAGTGAAGTCGCTCTCCCTCCTCCGGTACTGACAGGGCTACAGTGGCTACACAGGTCTGGCCATTCAATATTTGGTAGTGCCACGTAGGAACTTTTCCTTACCTCCCTCCTCCCATCCCAGGCCCACCCTTCTTCCTCCCAATCCCTCCAGTCTGCCCCCCACCCTATTTGTTTGAAGACTTTCATCGCCCTCCAGGACAGTTGCATGTCCAACCTGCAAGAAGAAGCTGTTTGTAGGAGGGCAAGGATGTGAAGGTGAGGGGGTCATGGAGAAGATGAGGGGGCTAAACATCGGGGAAAGTGCCCCCCACACGCTGTCCTGAACTCCACTTTATCATCTGTCAAGTGTTCCATTCAGAAGCATTTCAAAATGCCACACACAAAGTGTTCTCAATCTTCTAAATTCATCCCCCTGCTTTCTCTTATATCCCTCAAAGTAAAAACAGCCCGTTTCTCACTTCCTCGCAGACAAAGAAGTTTATCACAGTTCACTTTATACCCTTTCTCTATATTTTCTCCTCAGTTCACCCTTCAAAAGATATCTCCATTAGAACCTGGAGAAACCCAAAGAGTTCTTCAAAGGGCCGAGTACTGTGAGTAAAGACTGTTTTTGAAACAAAAGCTTTGTACCACTGCCTTCCCGTTCAAAGTAATATTTTTTTTCTTTTTTGCAAAGTAAGTGGAAAGGGACGGAGGGCTTTCTCAGTCTGCTGCGTGCCTGACAGATCTTTTAATCCTGCCACCTACCTCCTCTCTCATTACTGTCCCGCCTACATCCAACAGTCTCTCCAGTTTCCACTCCTAACCTGGTAGCAACTACAATCTGGATTTTATTTAAAAGAAGTGGGGTGAATACTAGGGGGAAGGGCACAAGAAGAATGCCGGGTGGCAATGTCCCACCTCCCCAAACTCTTTTTTTTTTTTTCTCCTTACCTCCTCTGACCTCTCTGGCTTGGAAGAGAAAAGTCAAGGCGAGGGTTGAGATGGTGAGATCCCAGACCCATCGTTTCGTTTTCCACCTGGACCAGGGCTCCATCTCCTAGCCCCGTGCTCACAACTGTGAACCCACGAAATTGCCACTGCAGACCAACTTCGTCCCTTCCAAGGTGTTGCCTACGTTTGCTACACAGCCATCCGGAAGGGAGAGGGGGTAAAAAAATAAAAAATAAAAATAAAAATAAAAAATAAATAAAAAGTCAAAGGGCTCTACTTTTTTTTTTTTTTCAATTTGATGGTTTGCTTCCTTCCTGTCTCTCGCCCCCTCCTCTCCCTTTGTGGTGGCCCCGCAGACTGAGACCTGAGATCCGTCCTACGCCTAGCCCTACCTTCAGACTGAGGGCGAATGAGAGGTTTCAAGAAAGGACCTGAAAGCACTGAGCACCCCTAAAGGCTTCATGCTGTCGGTGGGCCGGACAAGAGGCTCAGGCAGCCCCCTCCTCCGCCCACTCCCCCTCCCCGCTGTGTGCCCGCGAAACTGACAAGCAGACTGAAGGTCACACCCAATCACACGCTTCCCCGCAGCCCCAAGCCCGCCCAGTCTCTCGCCGGAGGATCCAGACTTATGCAGGCCCAACCCACCGGCCACCCCCTCCCCATCCCATCTTTGCTCTCCTCCTCCCCCTTCTTCCCCTCCCAAATCCCCAAGAAGAAATGGGAGGGAGTTAGGCGGGACCCGTGCTTGGCTACTGCACTTTGGGAATGAAAGGAATTGCTGAGAAGCCACGGAGCACACGGGGCGTTCGAGGAGCTTCTGTATTCAATAAAGATACTCTCCTTGCACCGGTCTGGGAGCCCCTTGTCCCTAGGAGGCGGGAGGGGGAGGACGGGAGAAGGCCCACGTTTCACTGGCCGCACGACTGGAGTCCTGGGCAGGCAGTCGTAACCGTATCCTCTGCAAAAACCTTCCTAGGGCAGGCATGGAATCAGTGGGCTCTACTCCGCCTGATCCCAAAGATATTTTTTAATTATTATTTACAGAGAAACTAAGGAAGGCCTGAAGGGGGGCGTGGATGGACCCTAAAGATCTCAATCCTCATCTTGTAGGTAAATTCTAGTTGGCGAACTGGAAAGTGGAAGGCTTCCCAAATGCCCACAGCTGCTAAAGACTCACAGAGGGGCTAGACTCTTCAAGAGCAGAGTTGAACTGTGAGGAAATGGGAGAGGGAGAAAGCATGGCAGCCCAAGCTAAAATCTCAGTCATTTGCTTTTCCAGCAGATTTAAGCCCTGAATTTGGATGAAAGAGGCAAAGGAGGGAGTAGAAAAGGAAAGCTACCCGCAGAATTTTCCAACTGGCAGACCCCACAGTTTCTATACTGAGCCTGATCTTAGGGCCAAAAACAGAGAAAGCCTAAGGGACTTGTTTCTAAGAAAGCTCCTCTCCTCGGGGTAGCCCTCTTAATCCTAAATATTAGATTCCCTGCCCAGTTTTTCCCATATCTGAATTATTCCATCAACTTGACTGATCCTTTCTGTTTTTAATCCGTTTCTGAAATATTTCTTTCTAGCAGTGAGCGACAAGTCTAACAGTGGACTGACGTGGGAAGATGGTACCAGCATGTATTAGACACTCGATAGAGATGTCTTGAATGGATTCTTTGTTTCTTTTTTTCTTTCTTTCTTTCTTTCTTTTTTTTCTTTCTATTGATACAGATACTAGAAGCCAGGGCCTACTTATTTAAGTCATATCAATGCCAAGGGTCTTCAATTAAGTTTATCAACGTGCATGTTCATTCCTTTATTTACCACTAATCTTTAAACCATGGGTTTTTTTTTAAATGATCCGTTAAAATATGCCTAATTGGATAAACAAATGTTTTCATATGTTTTGATAATTGGTAAACTAGATAGAATTGATAAAAATCGGGAGTAGATTATATTAAAGGCAACTAAAAATACTTCATTATCTATGCCTCTGCACCAAAGAACCATTCCCTAATCATGAAGTGTCTTTGAGATCACAGCTTGGAAGAGAGAGGGGGAAAAGAGAGAGACAGAGACAGAGTCTTATTTATTTTAATGAGATCAGAAGAATCTTTGGGATGCCATTTATCAGAGAAACAGAACCAACTAGTTCTTGAAATTATAACAATTGTTAACATATTTTACTAACATGATTTACTAGCACACTGTTTTTGAGCATGGGATATCTAGCTGCAGATTAAGAACTTTGCATTGGTAAGTAATTCAGTAACTTTATTAGACCTCATCTTCTCAGATGGAAATTTTGTGTGTATTTGTGGTTTCCAAATTTTTAAAACTTGTCTTTTCTACCCAATTCTCTTTGCATGTAAAAGTCATTTTCAAAGTCTTCACTTAAACATAAAACAATGAAATGAGTACATTTTAGTTTAGGAATCCTTACCTGTGAGCTGACCAGTTAAAGAGCTCCCAGCAACATGTCTAGTGCTCTAAACTGTTTTCCCCTCACTGTCTGGTGCACTGAGAATTCCATAGCCTGGTGCTGTTCTAGGTGAGAATGATTCAGCCACTGCCTTCTGCTCACATCTCAGACCTCACAGCTTGTAAAAGGGTTCTTTCAGGCAAAATATCTTTAGTGAATAGAGTTATTGCTGTCTTATGCATCTGTACCCTGTGGTCTGAATTCCTCTGGCCGTTGCCCAACTAAGCATAACCTAGGTCTGAATTTATGTGTCTTGAAGGAAACCTTCTGGAGTCACAATGAGGTATAATTATGTCTGATGTCTCTAGCCTGTAGCTGACTGCCAGGTGTTGAGTCTCCCAGAAACCTGTCCATGGACTTTCAGATGAACTCAATGACCGAAGATAAAAGCATCAAAGGGCAGAAACCAAAGAGAGCCATCCATCCAAGTGGCCTTCAGCTTCACGCTGGGGAACTTGCAGTAGAGCTATTTCCTGGGTGACCTTTCAGCCTGCCATTGTTAATTGTTTATACATAGATTCAAAATGTAATAAAATGTGACAGTTTCATTGGTGCAAGTTCTTAGGTTTGAAGCATAGTTAGTAATATAATTCCATTTTGTCACATAAAAAACAATGTTGAAGGCATGTTGTCAACTTGAAGAGTAAGTTTTGATGTGAAAGTCTCATAAAAACAATGTAAAATCAGATGAAGACTAATCCCTTTCTGTGTAACAATACTTTAAATTAACCATTTCCATATTGCTATACAAGAGGACTAAAACAGCAATTTTTGTTATAGATTGGGAAGGCAAATAAAGAATAGAATGTGCTAGACAATCTTCAGAATCCATGGAAAACCCACAGCCCCTCCTTAATATCATCATAAATTTTAGGATTCACAGAGTTCCTGTTTCCGAGACAATGTTCCATGTACTCAATAACCACTCAGACACCACAGACACATTATCCAAGCTCAGTGTCGCTAATGCATACAGAATCATAAGTAAAACAGCGGTTCAATAATCCTTAAATTGTTATAGGCACAATTAAGGGAAAGAAGGAACTGTTATAAAAATTATGTCATCTTTTAAAATAGTTCATATACAGTCTTCTTTGCTCATGTTTATATTTTAACCTTTTCCGTTTCCTTCTTGCAGTGCTGGAAATAGAACCAGTCACCTTGCACATGGTACAAAGGGCTCTATCCCCGAACTACATCCGCTCAACTTCCAGCTTCAATAGATGAATGGATGGATATATATATATATATATATATATATATATATATATATATATATCTGGATACACATATCCAGACCAAAACAAATCGTGCTTTTACCGTATTTTGATGTACTAATTTCTAAGAGAAGACTCAAACTGGCCAGAAATATTTAATAAAAGTGTATTTAATGGAGTCTTTCTTTTACAAAGCCTCATAGTTTGCCTTTCGTGTTCTTTTCTGGACTTCAGGTCAATTATTTTGAGGAAAGACTGAAAAAACAGTTTGACATTCACTTTACAGTTTTCCTATTACATGAGTGGAAGAAATTAGTCTTTTTAAAAGTTCAGTTAGTTCCTCTTACCTCACAGATGGGTGATTGTCTTGATCAAAGTGGGAACTGAGAGGGACCAGACATGTCTGCTTCCATAACATAAGCAAGTCCACAAGAACTCGCAATGACAACCGAGTATTGTGTTTGTAACTGTACGATGAAATAATTTACAAAACTTCAGAGGAGCTCAAATTCAGGTCAATTTCTAACAGAGTTTTCAGATAAACAGTTTTCTGCTTTTGGAACACTGAAAAAGCCAACTGAGAGAAAATGCAGGTTCACACTGTCTAAAAGGGCCTAAGGTAAAAATCAAAGATAAGTGAACTCCAGAACCACAAAGAGTATGGTTATGTGCTTTTATGTTTCACTCCTTAATATTTTTTATTACTTAAGCCCCTTTAGTGGGTTGATGGAATGGATGCTTTTCCAGAGGACACAAGTTCTGTTCTCAACACCATTCTGAGCTGGTCACAGCCACCTGTAACTCCAGCTTCAGGAAATCTGAATGTTTGTGAATCATATCCAATGAATCTATTACCTTTATGTGCCCTTCTTTTATGTTTCCCAACCAGTGCCACATAGATTTAAGATAGGTAAATATGGTTAAAAATGGAAATCATTCTGATTCTTAAAACATCTGTATTGAATAACTTCAAGTTAATTTGTTTTACAGCTCCTTGGTACTTAAGAGTTCTCCCAATATTGTATTTTCTGCCAGTTCCAGTATGGTCGAATTATTTAATATCCAAATGATGGCCAAACAATAGACACTATTTCAAAACTTTTACGATCTAATCTGCAAAGACTGGGAACCACATATAAACATAAATTTTGAAAGTAACATTTGTTCTGAAAGACTTTTTTATCAAAGTGGAATGCATTTGTTATTATAAGGACATTATTTTTATTTAAAATACTTAATGATTTCCTTTGTCTTCATAACATCCTCATGAGGTAAGAATGTGGAAACTTAAGTGGTTTTATTTTTAAGGATAAGATCTGGGACATCCAAAGTTCAAATTAGGAATAAAGAAACAGATGGAATATATGAAACCTATTTGAATTTTCACAATTCG